GAATTCGAATTTGAGACCAAGTTTCTATCATAACCAATAGCTTTATAACTTTTTAAAATTTTTCTAGTTTTTTCAATTTTTTACATTACTCAACTGAAAACATTTTTTTCAAAATTTTTTATACGTAGTTTGTTTTTAATTGTTTAAAATTTTTTTACATTTTTTTGCAATTTTTTAATATTTTTTGAAGTATACATGTTAAATTTCAATTTAAAATTTTTTCTTTTAGATTTTTTACATTTATGTTATTTTTTTGTGAGTGTTTTTCTATTTTTTCCATCTTTTAAAATTTTTAAAATTTAAAAAATTCTAATATTTTTCACGATTTTCTAGTTTTTTTTAAATTATCTTCTGTAATTTTTTATGGAAAAATCACTTTTTATTAGTAATAAAAGTACTGAAAAAATTCAAATATGATTTATGTTGTCGTCCTTCCTAGCAAATGCGACTCAGTTACGCCTTAGCTGCGATCGCAGTTTGACCGTAACTGAACACATGGGCATGATGTATACTTAATAAAAATAAGATTAAAATAGGAACATTTACTCGAACAATATAAATACACCGAAAATCACCAAAAGGCCTATAAGACTTCAATGATTTTTTTAAATAATGTTTTACTCTTAAAGTGACCTCGAATATCCAAAATTTCACTTAAAATTGATGCCATAAAACTTGTCTCACTTTTCTGCACAGGATTACTAGGGTGTGGGTGTGGGTCTACTTTTCAACCACATCCATATCCACACTCACATACCCACACCCTAATTGCTTTCTCAAAAACATAATTTTATAATGATAAAAAATTCTAAAACCTAATTTTGATGACAATGACAAAATCAAGTCTGTGAGAATCTGGATATGAAGGCGCTTTCATTGCACTTAACTATTTTTGGCAATACATATATGAAGACGAAAATGCAAATATGCAGAGTGATAGAAAATTCCAAGCGTTTTCAGAATATACCATTATCTAATTAAGAATACGTTTTTATGATAGCAGTTTAACTACAATACCGACTGCAGCTATTTTTTTCCGGGCGTATGTATGCGTATAACTGTGTGTGCGAAGAGTTCTCTATTCTAATAAAATAAAAGTAAAGGTTGTCCGTTTCGAGCGAACATTCACTCTGAATCTCTCATTGTCGTCTCATTCTGCAAATACTGCTCACTGTTGATGAGCTTGTCATGAGAACTGTGCCAGTTCGTTTTTCTTTACTCAGTACAAATATCAGACAGAATGAATGAAAACAATGCGAGGACTGCAGAGGGAGAACTGTGTTATTGCTCAAGTCCGATGCAATCATCGTTGTCGTCGCTGAAGGTCTTCAATCTCATCTACTCTTTCGGAGAATGTGAGAAGAGGCGTACTTTTTCGAGCAGTCACGTCAGAAGCCAACGTTTGTCTTCCTTTGTTTGCTCACATGGCTCGAGATAAAATGTAGTGTTCTTTCGCTTTCGATAAGATGGTAAAAAAGCGCTGCACATTCATCAACAACACTATTTATTGGCTGCTTACTTTTCACTTTGATGCTGCTGTTTCAATCATTATGCTTGCTTCAAATTCAAAAATTAATTTTTTTTTCTTTGTCTGTTGTAGAAAAGATAGTTTCTTTATTCGCACAAATCATTTTCATTTGTTGCTTGCCATACACACGCAAAAAAAGAATTCTCAAGTTTTCTTGCAAAGTATTCATCAGCTTCAAAGTATTATTGACGCAGTAAGTTTTAACTTCCTTCACTCTGCTTTGTAACGTTAATATTTTTCAGAGGAACATTTCGACCCACGTGGTGTGAAAAACTCAAGCAAGGTAACAGATTTGAAAGAGATCGATTAATAGGTTTGCATGATTAGGATATTCCTGCTGTTGTGGCTTAGTAGAACGATTTCACAATGTATTGAACTCTAAGATTTTCTGAAGAAAGTCTTTTGCTATGCGAAAAAGAGTCTCATTTAGCGACATGTTCTTCTGCAACAGGTACTGATTTGATAAGTCTTAGACGATCCATTTGTATTGATAATTCTGTAAGTAGTAAACAGTCAAAAATGTATCACTAAGCGATACTATTCGGAAAAATTGACTTGTGCAGGACTAGTCAGAAAATTTGTTTTATGGCTATGTAACAAAATATTTTACTTGCATTCAGGGATGACATGAAGCAGCAGATTTCTGACGTCCTTGTTCTAAATCAGTTGTCACTGAAGCAAACACTACGAGAAATCTTTCCTTTGGGTGCGCCAGACGAGATCAAGAATTTCTCTAGATTGAAGGGACACCATGTGCATACGTTGCCCTCCTCTAGTCTCCCCGGCTTTGTCGTGTCACCTTCTCTCCAGGATTCTGACGCCGTGAACTATTCTTTCCAGGGGGAACAATCGGACAAGATTTTCCATCTGATCATGTATGATCTTGTAAGATTTGGTAAGAATCGTACAAAAAATCGTGGTCTCAGAAATCTTACACCAATTCTTATTGTAAGATTTTTAACAAGATCTTGTTGTCTTGCCAGATCTTACTGTAAGATTATACAAAATCTTATCCGACGGTAGGATCTGACAGGAATCTTACAGTAAGAATTGATGTAAGATTTCTGAGAGCACAACTTTTTGTACGATTTCATATGATCGTACAAGGCTTACTGTCAGATTTTTGACCTGGGTTGTCTTCTCAAACGATATCTCTCAAAAACCTGGCTGCTTCTTCCCTCACTATATCAGAGAACTCATCGAGGAAATTGTCAAGTTTTCATCGCTCGATCGCCATCCCAATGAAAGTAGAGTGAAAACATGTCATGATGAAGGATCTCAATAGTTCTGGTAAATGTGTCAACAGCGATGGGTCTTTTTACTCTATTTAAATATCTGCTGTGATTTTCTTCTTGGAGTTCTGCCTTCCGAACACTACTTGTTCAAGTACAATTTGTCCTGAAGATTGTGCCCGTTCACTCTTCTTTGCTCAGCACCTACACTAAACTGCACATAAAACGAGGAGAAGAACTGTATACAGATAGAGTTTTACATTTCCTCGGACCAGGTGTATTATTGCCATAATCGTGCCCCGAAGGATTTTCAATCTTACTTCCTGTGCTAAGGAATGTGTGAAGACGCCTATTTCGTTGAACAACCATCTCCGAAGTCAGTTCTTTTTCTTCTCTCTACTCAAACTGATTGAGATGAAATGCGGTGTTATTTCGCTTTCTATCGGTTGGGGAGAAGGGTTGTGAATAGAATTGGAGTGGGAGTGGTTGTAAGGACGTCGGTGCAGTATTCGCTTGGGTGTGGGTCAGTGTTTGGATATAGATATGGTTGCTGATGTAAATGTGGGTAGGAGCGTTTGAATGGCTGTGAGTTTCCGATGCGAATGAGGAGTAACACATTCTCATGACTATTACCTGTAAGTGGTAACCAACGCTTACCGAAAAGTGGTAGGTGGTTTGTATTTAATCAAAGGCCTGAGATGGAAAATTACCATAACCCATCAGCTTGTCATGTAGCGGAGAATTTGTCAGATTGATTTTTTCCATAAAATAAACCGTATGTTAAGAGAATAATCATCTTACAAAATTTGATAAAAGGCACTAAGGGTCATACAATCTAAACCTGTGATCGATTTTTCGAAACTCATCATCCTGATTTCTTAATAGGATAAGGGTATATCAATGAACGAATGCCTTCTGATCCCGATAAATGAAAGTAGCGAATCGTGCGAAACCAATTACAGATTCAGGTTCCTTGATCTCGATTGCCTTCGGTCTAACTTTATTAGGAACCATTATTTTCGTAAGATAGACTTTCTTTGGACGAAAGATGGAACTGACAAATCCTCTATTACTCCATAACGTAACTAGACAGTAGCGAGACTTCTCTTCCCCGATCAGTAATTAAATACAAACCACTTATCACTTATCTTGAAATGATACTTACCACTTCCCCAGTAAGTGATTACTGGTACGACACCATTTACCACTTATCAGTAAGTGATCTGTGGCAAAGATTACTGTCAGACGTTAAATAACCAATCGTTAATCTAATCCTCAATGACTTCTATAAAGAAAATTTTTCAATCATAGAAACAGCTACTGTTAACTTGATGACAGCAGGTCGCACTAAAGGTGTGGGTGGGACGCTATCATGGAACAGTCGCTAACACCTACACTTCACACTCATACCCCACATCCACATCTGCACGCATACATCCGCACTCACATCCACACCCTCACACCCTCAAGCTATAATTTTGTTATATTCTGTATTTTATATTTGATTCTGTAAAAAAATCGATAATTAAAATCGGGTTAAAAAATAATTTCAAACGATTACTAGTGTATGCTTGATTATATCAAAAATATAAAAATCTATATCAGAACTTCGAACTGTAACGTAAGATTTTCTTCGGTCAGTGTTATAAGCGACATAGAAAAAAGTATTTTACTATTCTAATTTGGAATTCTTCATCATGAGGCGAAACGACACCCTCAACAGTATGCGTAGTCATTATTGATACTGAATTTCTGTCCAACTGCAGTACGCATGTGAGTAGGTAGCGATGGCAACACTTAATGTATAGAAGCGAAAATGAAAGATAAATGAAGCTTTCATTCCATCAATACTATTTCACTATTTATATATATACTTCGTTGTTTTTAATTCATGCCTGTTGTTTAGTAGAACACAACATTCGAAATTTGTCCAATTTCCAGTAAGACACGCATATACACATATGGCAACATCCGTCAATGTGAATCGCCGTTTGTTGGAAAGTATTCGAGATGAGCCAAAGAAAATGCTGCTTCCCATATCTGGCTACGAGAAAGTCAACGTTAAAACTCTTGAACAAGCTTGTGAACCGATAAAAGATATTTTCGATGAAAAACTGCAACAATATATCACTATTGCCAAAATGAACTCAACGGAACCCGAAGATGCGCTCTCTCCAGATGAGTCAGCTTCCATCCATCTTTACACTTTAGAATGGGATGTGCATGAAAACAGTTTGTACATGATGCTGAATCGAACTCTTCGTTTAGCTGATCGTACAAAACTTCAGCCGTGGTTCAAATATTTGAAGCTGTTCCTTACAGCTTTTTACAAATTGCCGTAAGTAAAAACATTATTTATCATTTTATGTTATGATGTTTTTCTACTTTAGGCGAAGCGAGCACACACTTGTTTGGCGTGGTGTACGCGAAGATCTCAGTGGTCTTTATCCAAAGGGTAAAGAATTCGCTTGGTGGGCATTTAGTTCTTGCACTGCTGCAATAAGTGTCCTTGAATCGCCAAATTATTTGGGAAAATCAGGCACAAGAACAATGTTCTCCATTCAAACCAATAGTGGAAAACATATTCGTGCTCATTCATATTTTGAGAACGAAGACGAAATCCTTCTTCCTCCAGGCATTTATCTCAAAGTGATTGATAGTTTGAATCCTGCTGAAGGTCTACATATTATCCAACTTCGTGAAATTCCGCCGCCATATCAAATGCTTACTGAACCTTTTGATCTCACTCAACTGAAGCAAACTTTACCACAACCAAAACCGTCATTATCTCAATCAACTGCAAACAAAAAGCAAGAAAATTATGCAAAAGCAGATGTCACACCAAAACCATCCGTACAAGTGTCCTCGAAAAATGGCAAGTCACCTCTATGTTATTAAAGATTAGAAAGTTCTTAGAGAGAACATTTGCTCAGGATATCAGAGATCTTATTAGAACATTAATTTCAAGCTTCTGCACTAGAGAGATCACATTAAGTGCTAATCAAATAGACATTGTGTCATTGCTATTTATTGTCTTTTCCTTCTTTATGGTAAAAAGTTTGACATTGACTTGAATCATAAGTACTATGCAGGAGAAATTGATTAGGATCTGGATGTGCATGCACTTGTACGTGTGAGTGTGAGTTGTCTCTTTAACCACAGCCTTGCACTCATCAACTTACCTGAGTTCTCTAAGCTTCTGAAAGTTATTCAGTTCTCTAAATTCTATGTGTATCAATGCTTGTATGACGGTTCCTGTAAATCCTTGACTTTTTTGAGTTCCTTTTGTTATCCTCCTACTTTCAGCTTCATTGATTCTTTGAGTTCTCTGAGAGACTTAAATTTTTCAATTTCATGTTATTCCCATGGTTCGTTGAGTTTCATCGCTTCCTGGATTTTTCCAAGTATCTAAAGGTTCTTGTTTAACAATAGATTCTTGAATTTCATAATTTCCTTCGCTTCATTGAGTTCATTGGTATGCTTGGAAACTGTAAGATTCTTCGTTTCATTGAAATTCTATGGTTCATGCAATTCATGGCTTTCCTGAGGTTCATCTTCAAGACTCTTTTGAATTCTTGGTTTGATTTGTATCTCACCATACATTGAACTCCTTTAATTTGTCGGAATTCTTTCATTTCGAAGATATCTTGGATTCTATAAGTTTATTCAATTTGTTGCACTACTTGAATTTCATTAACTCTTTCCATTTCTTCAGGTTTCCTGTTTCTAAGAATCCTTCGATTCCACAAAGTCTTCGAAAAAGTCTGCATTCTTTATATACCATGGGTTCTTTCCATTTCTTTCACTTTCTGGGATTCTTCAAGTATCTTGTATTTGTCGGATACCTGCGATTTATATGATTCCATGAGTTTTGTTGACTTTCGTTAACCCCTAGAAGTTTTGTGATTTCTTGGATTCGATGGGTCAATTTGATTCGTTGAAATTCTCAGTTTTCTTTAACTTTCTGATTTTCTCAGGTTATTTGGATTCTGCCAGTTTCAGTAATTGCTTGAATTTTTTGGACCTCTTGACTTCGTTAGTTTGTGTAGATTCCTTGGAATCCCTTAGTTTTTTGCATTTCTTCGATTGTAGAAATGCTCGGCTTCCTAAAATTTCTTTTACCGGTTGAGTTCTTTTAGTTCGATGGGTTCCTCAAGACCTAAAACTGAGTTTGATCCTGTGAAAAGCCTTGGTTTTTCAAAATATTTCATCGTTTTGAATTTTTTACGCTTTCTGAGTTCTTCAAAATCTTCTAGTTCCGTAAGTGCGTGGTATTTTTTTGAATTTCTCGAAGCTATCAGATCTTTCAATTCTTCAAGTACTGTGGACTCCTTGATCTTTTTTCGCTCCTCGAGCTCCTCGAGTTCTTCCAAATTTCTTTCATTGATGGGTTCCTCAAGGTCGTTACTTTATTCTCGCTTCTCTTTCTTGGGTTTCTAGAATTTTTAGAATCATTCGGATTTCTTGGCTTCTGTCGATAAGTAAATCTGGAAAATTCGCGCAATGTCCGATTGCGATTTTGGACGCGATCAAAAACGGTTTTTGAAATTCCAGAGAAAAACACGGTTTGAGACATTGCTTTCGTATTGGATGCTGAATATTTCGCAGCTGGTAGCACTTGTGCAACGGAGAGGTGATGGACATCTTGGATGTTCTTTGAAAACTACAATTGAAAGACAAGACCTTTACAAATTTCAAGTAATGAAACTCGATAAATCTGTGTAGAATGATAAGCCCTCTATGTTCTTTTTGAGATAGTGATGAACGACTGCGTCAGGGTTTCAATCGGTAATGATAAGCGACTTTTCTGGTGCAGTAGAAGATTTCTTACCCACCAATCGAGATTTTTTTGAGTTTTTGCATATTTTTCTTTGCAAAAAATTGATAATAGAGGTATTTTTCTCGCAAGCTAAACATTTGGCTCATGCTAAGGACTATTTTTGTAAGAGAATACGCATCAAAGTATTTCTATTTAGTGAAAATGCATTATAATACACTTAATATATTTTATCAGCTTGATTCCTGATTAATTTATGCTATCGAAACAAAATCGAATAAATCTGATTGTAGTGTTTCATAGATTTATCAGTATTTCCTATTATTTATAGCGTATATTTCGCACAGACTTAAAAGCTAACAAGATAAATATATAATCAGAACATTAACAATGTCGATGTCGGACAAGCAATTAATCAATATAAAAAGCTAATACAGAACTTATAGTTCTAGTCAAGGATGGATGTTCGGAATGACAGCGACGAAACATCTGGAGGTCTCGTCACTTTACTCACATCCTTGAAATTCTTTGCTACCAGTGCGTGTCTTGGGTATCAATGACTTTCTTAATCCCTTAGTTTTCTTCGTTTTGTTTGACTTCTTGATTTCCTTGGATGCTTGACCTTCATTTTGTTGCTGGGATACATTCGATTCCTTCAATTTTTCGGTTTGTTTTAAATGTTTCGATTTCTTCGCTTTCTTGGATGCTATGAGTTTTTTGGATACCTTGCATCCAGGGAGGCCAGACAGTATCCTTCGAAGCCTTGAAATTGCCTCATTTATAACAGAAATGGTTCATGCCCCGCACAAAATAAAAAAGAAATGTTTTCTTTAAAAAGAAAAGCAGCTGTTATCTAAACTCATTTAAAAAAGAAGAAATGAAATATTAACAAATAGGAAAACCTTCGACAGGCTCTAGTTTCACAAGTAGGAATCAGAAAAGTCTTAAACCGATAACAAGGTATGCAGTATTCATTAGTTGACCTATTTCAAGTTTATCATTTTCCTCTTATAGACTTCATATTAAGTCATCACCTATATTCTGTATGATTTTTTTGACTACCTAGTATTTTCATTTAGAATATCAAGAATTTGCTGCACCTGGAACTTGCGAGCCACCCTATTGCGAAGGTCGTCCTTGTGTCCGATGCCATAAATGCCGTGATTGGCATTTTACTGGCGATCAGGGCACATGGGACTGGATCTGTGATTACAAGAATTGGCGTGATACGGATTGGAAGCGTTGGAGCAATGATCGTGACAAGCTTTTCAAGAAGCGTTATGATGGTGCAACATGTTCTTCTTTTCGTTCTTCTCGTCGTGGTTATCATCTCTGCTTATGCGAGATGCATTAATATTTGTTGTTCACGAGACTTCGTTCTAATCTTAATCATTTGATTGTACTACTTCTTTTTTAATTTCCAATAAAGTCGCCACACGTTTTACCTGTTGGAGAGAATTTTATGCGTTAGCGCTAACTAGTAAAAGTGAGTAGTAGTGAAAAAGAAGTTAGTCGGTAAAGGGTTTGGCGGGCATGCGACTTCGGTTCGAAAAGGACTTTCGTCGCAAAGGGAGTTACACCGCGTAATGCGAGCCGCCGCGAAGCGGCGGCGAGCCTACGAAATTTTAGAGATATAGATGTCGCCGGTGTACGGTGTATATTTTGTTAAAAATAACGAAAAATTGCATAAATAAATGAATAAAATATAGTAAAAATATTTTTAGTAATTTTAGAACATTATTTCCTATAATATAATGTATCATAAGACGCAAAAAATCGAAAAAAATATATTCTCATGAAATAATTTATTGATTGGATGATCGCCCAAACCAATGGAAAATATGTTCCATGTTTTACTGTTGAGTATCGGTGATTCATAGATTGGTGTATAGATGTAAACTTTGTATTTTTTATTTTAGAAAAATTAAAATAATTTTTATAAATGCAGAAAATGTTGGAGATGATAATTAAATTTTAGATCATGTATTTTGTCTTGTCGATAATTTATTTGTATAAAGAAAAACTATTTCGTGAAATAGGTTTGAAAAAACGAATGATGATTTTAAATTGTTCTGAAGATAATAGTTTTGTTTTTCAATAGAAACTGATGATTGTTTTTACTTAGGGGAATGGAAAATCAAAAATACTATTAAAGTTTTTTTGTTGGTAGAATGTATTGGTATCAGATAATTAAATATTGTGTGTCAAGTATGAGCCATGTAAGATTTGAGAAAAAGTTAAACATGAAAAGAAAATACTATTTCAAGAGGCTGAAGTTTTCAAATTATTTTCATTTATTGATTGCAGGCAGTGTGAGAGAGAAAGCTGATTTTCGTTTTTGTACATTAATACTTGATCGACACGAAAATAATTTGAAAGAGTTTGAGTTTCGATTAAAATTACCTATCAGTTTTCACTCAACTAACTGTTAAATTGTTTTGGAGTAGATTGAATTAAGTTGAAATATGAATTATTTTCATTGAATTGATATTAAATGATGGAAGAAATAAAAAAATATATATTTTATTTTTATTCACTTTAAAGATTTGCTAGTAAACCATTATATTTTAATGGTTTTTTTTCATTTAATCGTTTGAAACATACGTTTTATAATATTTACTTATCAAATATGAACGAAACGATGAATTCTGTTTTGTGTAAGATCAAGAATTTTTTCTTTCTTAATAGGAATGCATATAATCAAGAAAATAAAAATTCGTTTTATCAAGCATATGATTTATCAAGTGTACACAGTTTATACCAACAAAAATTTGTTTTAGACAGTTTTATTATGAGGTCGCATGATCGAATACTATAATTGTTATGCGTATCAACTATAGGTGAAATGTTGAATTATATTTAGAACTAGAATGTTCATAGTCAATAATCTAAAGAATTTTCAACACTATTTAAAAGCAGAAACGAATGAGAACTTGTTTTGATATTCATATCATAAATCAGATATCTTCAACCCCGACATGAATAAGTAGTCATCTATTTGTCTCGTATCAAACATGCACGAAGTCTCGCTCTTTACGTTTATCTTATAAGAAAAAAAATGATTACGTCTTCTCGTCTCTATCTTCTTGTTGACTTAATATTTTTAAAATTCTGTTCCTCT